AAAAAAAAAAAAAAAGCAACCCTAGAGTATAAGACCTTTCTAAGTACGTCACAAAACACAAAGGCCAGAAAGGAAAGACTACCCCCGTAAAATACCCAAAATTGTTCAATGTTTTTATGGCAGAAACCCACCAAAGGCAAAGGCAAATGACAAAGAACAAATTGGGAAAAAAAAATCTTCAGCACGCGTTAAAGTCAAAGGTGTGCTTTTATTTGCAAGCGCCTGTGAATCCATAAAAACGCCTAATAAGCCGGGGCACCCGGCTGGCTCTCGGTGGAGAGTGTGTCTCTTACTCTGGGGGTTGGGAGTTCGAGCCCCAGGCTGGGTGCAGAGATTACTTTAATAAATAAATGTTTGAAAAAAACACCTACTTGGGAATGCAAGCTGGTGCAGCCACTCTGGAAAACAGTATGGAGGTTCCTCAAAAAAGCTAAAAAGAGAACTACCCTATGACCCAGCAATTGCACTACTGGGCATTTATCCACGGGATACAGGTGCTGTTTCGAAGGGACACATGCACCCCCATGTTTATAGCAGCATTATCAACGATAGCCAAAGTATGGAAAGAGCCCAAATGTCCATCGATGGATGAATGGATAAAGAAGATGTGGTATATATATGCAATGGAGTATTACTTGTCAACCATAAAGAATGAAATCTTGCCATGTGCAACTGCGTGGATGGAACCGGAGGGTATTATGCTAAGCGATATTAGTCAGAGAAAGACAAAAATCATAGGACTTCACTCATATGAGGACTTTAAGAGACAAAACAGAGGAACATAAGGGAAGGGAAACAAAAATCATATAAAAACAGGGAGGGGGACAAAACAGAAGAGACTCATAAATATGGAGAACAAACTGAGGGTTCCTGGAGGGGGTGTGGGAGGGGGGATGGGCTAAATGGGTAAGGGGCATTAAGGAATCTACTCCCGATATTATTGTTGCACTATATGCTATTTGGATATAAATTTCGATGTAAATTTTAAAAAATAAAAAAAAATAAAAAAAAATAAAAAAATGCCTACTAAGCCGATGGAAAAATACACAGCTTGCTACAGATTAAATCCAACAATACTTTTAGCCATTAAAATATGTACTCAGTCCCACGCTTAAAA